AGCGGTCTCCAAGCTTGGATAGCGGATTCTAGTTGCGGTCGTACGAAGGTTCCAAAGACTTTTGTGAAGCAATCTTCATTGAAGGCAGAAAAAGCTCGCTTGACGAGGTATAGGACTGACATCGTAGACTTGGCTAACTTTGCGCAATGCAGGGAGGGTTTAAGCGAGGGCGTGATCCAGACTCCTAAGTCCTTCTGGGGGTTCACTTCTTGTAATGGCCTGCCGTTTAGTCGGTAAACCGTGCCGTTCGAAGAACTAGTTTTTCCGACTCGAATGGTGTTGCACTTGCTCTCATTGAATGGCAAGAGCCAGTCCTTCGACCATTTTTGAAGTCTATTTAAATTTGTTTGCAAGTTCTCTTCGTCAGCCGCAATTCGAATAACGCTCCAAAGTTTGATATCGTCGGCGAACTTGGTGATACCGCAATCCAGTTCTCTGACGCAATCGTTGATGTAAATCATGAACACGATAGGGCCAAGAACGGAGCCTTGGAGAACACCACTCCCAACCGCAACCTTGGCTGTCTCGTTGTTGCTAGTGTGGACAGTTTGCGAGCGGCCCATTAGGAAGCTTTCTATCCACCCAAGAAGCCTACCTCTTACTCCTATACGGCTGAGTTTGTTAAGGAGACGGTGGTGTGGCACGCTATTGAAAGCCTTTTTGAAGTCTATACAGACTGCGTGCACAGATTTTCCACTATCGACTGCCTCAGTCCATCGTTCTAAACAGTAGAGCGAATTTGTTAAGTATGACCTGCCTGTACGAAAACCGTGCTAAACATCCGATAACAGATGTTTTTGTTCCAGGAATTGCATATGTTGTTGCATGATTATTTTTTCTGTAATTTTGCAACAGATTGCAGTAAGGCTGACTGGTCGATAATTGTTCGCTGAGACCCGGCTTCCCCCTTGTAGAGTGGCGTAATCCTCCCGGCTTCCCAGTCTACTGGTAGGCATCCGGTCTCGGAGGATGTTCGGAAGAGTGTAGGGAGTGGTTTTGCCAACTCACTGGCGAGCTCCTTCAGAATCTTGGCCGGTACCTCGTCGGGACCCGGTGGCTTAGATTCCTTTAACCCTAAGAATTTTTTAAGAATAACAGCCTCGCGGAATTGGACAGTCTCAACTATTGCATCCACGTCGGTGTCGTTGGTAGGGTAGTTGTATGCCATTTCTTTTGTGAAAACTGACCGGAAAAATTCCGAAAGATGATCAGCTTCTGCTTCATCTTCTATCAGGTTTCTACCCTCAGCGGTCCTCGGCAGGGGTAGAGGATCCTTGTTTTTTATACTCTGCCTGAGGTAACTGTAAAATAGTTTGGGGTTCACTGTGGCACAGTTTAGCAGGTCTGCTTCGAATCCCGTCTTTTTCTAAGATAAAGACCCTTGACCCGATTTCTCTGAGTTTTGTACGCACTTACAAATGCAGGAGTCCTGTCCGTTAGCGTTTTTTTCCACAGCTTCCGCTTTTTGTTCACTTCTATTTTTAAGGGTCCTGTCCGTTAGCATTTTTTCCCACAGCTTCCGCTTTTTGTTCACTTCTATTTTTAAGGCCCTGCGTTAGCCATCGGGGTCTCGTGGTCAACCTTTTTCGCGAAATTGGACGATAGTTTTCGATGAGCCTGTGCAGTGTGTCCCGGAACGTTTCCCAGTCCCTGGTTATGTTTAAAAAAATAGAGATGCCCACTCATTGCACGTGATTTCGGCCATCATTTGATCGAAATCACCTCGCCAAATATTTCTTCGGGCTGTTGAGAGTCTCTCGGGTATTGAGAATAACGAGTACTCCCGTAGCAGTGCAACGTGGTTATTTTTACCTAGCGGAGGTAGACATGACACTTCGTCGATGCTGTTCTGCGATTTCGTGAGAACGAGGTCTAGACAATTGTACTGTCGGTCATCGCGCATCCTTGTTGGAAACGTGACGTGTTGTGTGAATAATGACTGTAGGGTCATGCTCAGAAGGCAACTTTCCTGGCTCGCCCTGGCCTTTACTGGGTCGACTGCGCGGTCATCCGAAAAGGACCTGTCCAGGGGGAGAACATTGGAAACTGGATCACTTGGTTCTTATTAATACCCAAATGTTGTTTCCCTTCGTTGAGCCTCTGTCTCAGTTCGGTTACAAGTTGACGGCGTTTTTTTCCGTTCCGTAAGTGAGAAGTCCCGTCGAAAAAATAAACTGCAGGATTGGAGTCTTTTATCTCATAGCTTCTAGACAGAATGAGCCTGGCGTCCTTGATACTGGTCATGATGACCTTAAAGGGTCTAGGACGCGTTTGTTCAGATGGGCTCTCTGACCACTTACCCTGATGGAAGGATTTGTTCACTTCGATAGACGTATTGGGTACCAGCATTTTATTCAGAAGTGCATGGAACTGCTTCACGTCGTCGGAATACCGGCCGATGGGGGGTAGTGGCAATTGATTCCGGTAGACCTTGTGTTATGAAACTTTTGCACTTATCGGTGACTTTTTGCGTACCCTCTACGCCGTTGGTCACTTCCTGGTGCAACGCTTTCGTGTTACGTTCTGGTGATGGCGGTGCGGATGCTCGCTAGCTACAATTTGGTTTTCAGTCAGTTTTTTATTTATTTTGGTTTCGTGTCTTTTTTGGCGGCATCCTGATGACTCAGTCGCTTTTTGCTGTCTACTGCGAGGTTTTTTAAACTCGCCCCAACTGTGGCTGATTTGTCAATTATGGGGGCCTTAACTGTAAGTATGGGCACTCTCGTATCTTTTTCCGCGGCAGCCTTTGCTTCAACTGTTTTGTTTGCATCAGATCGCAGCTGTCTCGGTGCAAACACTGCATCCTCTGCCTCGCCCGGCTCTTCTCCGGTGTAGGGTGTAGGTGCGATAGTCACTCAACACGCGAACACTTGACTCAGCCATCTCGCTAGGTAGGCTCCCGCCTGCGCGGGAGTGCCATAAATGCCACATTAAAAAGGAGCCATTGCAGCCTGGCTGTCAGTCCTTCACCTTCTCACATATGCACACACAAACACACGCGTACTAGAGGAGCAGCAATGTAGTTGGCCCGAGTTATCCCGTCAGTTGGCAAACCCTCCAAACCACGGCTTTTAGCGCACCGTGATAG